TTTTTTTTTTTTTTTTACTTTTTTGGGATGACTATGACCTGGATGACTGAAAATCTTCACCAACATGTTAATGAGACGCTTCCAGGTCTCCAAAAAGCAACTTGCTATGGTTGCTATGGTTACAAATCATAACAAATGTCTGAAAATCCTCCAAGCTACACAGCCTCCAACATCTGATATCATAAAACAATATCTGGAAAAATAAACTTTTATCCACAAATGGAGGAACTGAAAAGAATATCCGAATCAAGCTAGCAGAGCTACTTCAATGTGCAGCTAGCTTAAACAGAGCAGCTATCATGGTTCTCCCCTTTTGGGACTTTGAGTTTTTAGTTTTCACTTGTCAATATCTAAGTAATTATTTAATGGGTAATAATATGTTGAGACTCTAGAAATCGTATGATTCTTAAGAAACAGGTGCAATATATTTTGTCCGAGTGGCATTGTCATATGATGACGTCATAAGAAAGGGCGGGGCCCCAAGCAGATCTGGTACCTACACCTGGTCACCTGTGAGCACATCTGGATGGGTGGCTGCTCCATGAGGACAGATTTCCCTTTTAGAAAAGAGTCAATTGAAGGGTTCTAATACTCAGAATAAAGTGTCTAAACTGGAAATACTTCTGTGAAGTTCTCAAATTGTCACTAATAATAAACATTTCATTGTACGTAAGAAAAATTATTAATGACTGGCAGATAAGAAGGAGGTCATTTTAGTTTTTTCTCTTCTACTGATCAAACTAATGAGCTGTCATTTCATCTTTATTCCTACGGAAAGTGACATCAGCCAGACGTCTTATAGTTACACATGTAACTGTAGGGTCTAAATACATGATATAAGCTCTTGGTGTCGCTTTTTTTAACTGATTAGAGTTAATCTGATTAGCGATAAAGTGATACTAGCTGTAAGTTAAAAAAATGATTGGATTAAATTAATGAATCAGACTTAATCAGACTTGAGTGCCGGCTACAATAAGTCAGTCATAAAAAAGCTTTAATGACTGTAAGAGATTATAATCTAGTTGTTTGAACAGGAACCATATGTCAAGGTTTCACCTCATGCAAATTCAGCAGTGGGGAAGATTTGAACGCTGCGCCAAAGCCATTTTAAACAAAGCTTGCATTCTTTTATAGATGATTTACAAGAGTTACTACAACCCAAAGCAGCAAACTCACAAAAAAAAGTCCTGTGATCATCCCATCCATCCATTTCGGCCAGGTTTGTCTTTTGTCTGCTAATACACTAAGAGCATTTTCCCCCTCAGTGATTTTACAATCAACCTAGTCGTATTTCACCTGCCCTCTGATATCTGCGTCTGCTTTTATTGTTGTTATTATCCAACACTTAGCTTTTATAGCTCTTCCTGACAAATCCTTTGCAATAAAGTCATAATCCATTTATGAAGGGGCCTAACTAATCAATTAATGAAAATTGGACCTACAAAGGCAGGCCGAGGGGCCATTGATTGAAAGTGTCTGTGTGGGGCCGATGAGCCTGTTAAAATACTTGTTAACACTCAGGAATCAAAGAGCTGAAATGGAATTGCTTCTCTAGCAATTAGTTTATTGATTTAATCAAGGGTCTTTAATGTAGGGGGTGAAAGTGTGTGCATAGAAGTGGAAGGATATGTGTGTGTATTTCGAAATGCGGGGGGGGGGGGCTAGGTGATATGCTCCCCTGGCCAGTAAAGCAGGATTTGCGTTTGTTCCAGTTCTTAAAGAGACAGAGGCTGCTGGACTGTTTGTCACATTTAAAGTGGCTGATTTGGCAGAAATTCAGTGATGAGAATAAAAAAACATAAAATCTTTGCTCATTATGACTTAATATTAAAAATTAAAAGAAAGAGGAACTAAAAGCAACAGATGGGCTGCTGGGCATGAACTCCTCATTGTTATTTTCTCTTCCCTGTTTTGTACATTAAGCACTCAGACATAAAGAAGTCTGTTTTACTGTTGCAATACTTCAGTTTCTGGCACAGTAATACTCTGGGTTCATGTGGAATTTGAACCTTCGGCCTCTAGCTATGAGCATAAACACGATCACTCTTTATTATTCTTTCTTTTCTGTAATTTTCATATCAAATACTCAAAATGAAGCTTTGTTTTCCCGTCTCATTACTGATGTTTTTGGCAGAATAACTTTAGGAGTTTGGTTGTTATTTGAACCCGATACCTCAAGCTGGCAGCAAAAACGTGACTATTATTCTTTTCTCTGTTTTTTATTTTTATTTTTGAATTTTTTTTGTGTGTGATATCAAATACTCTAAATCAACCTCACTTTTCTCTGTTTAATTGCGAGAAAGTTTTCCTGAAACAGACTGTTGGTGTTCATTCAGGATTTCAATTTCTGACCACCATGGACTTGATTTTTTCTTCCATTAATGTTGAAAGCAACCAATATGTTTTGCAAATGGAAAAAAAACAAAACAAAAACAACGACCTAAATGCATTCCTGAAATAAAACTTTGAAAAACTTCTTAACCAAACAAAGGTTTTGAGAGTAAGTTTCGTGCTTTCTCATATTTTATCTTTTAAAACTTATTTTCTTACAGATTTTTATTTTTTTTTCTATTTCTAATGTCAGGCTGAATTTTCAAGAATTTCATTCTTTTCAAACTGTGATTCATAGATCACATTCTCTCATTTCAAGCCCAACAGCAAAGCTTGCTCTGGACGC